TCCGCCACAGGCGGTGCTCCTCCTGCCGCAGCCACCTCTGCTGGCTCTGCGGCATCTGCTTCGGCTGCGCTGCTGCCCTGGGCTGCCAGGATCCGGTCGATCAACTCCGCCTTCTTCCCAGTGACTGGCAGGCCCAGCTGCTGGCACTCCTCCTTGAGCTCCTGCACGGCGCGCGCAAGAGGGCAGATCAGCCCCCTGAGGCTGCGATCCAGGAAAGTGACACGTAGCAAGTTCCTGATACTTACCGGAACTTTCTTTGCCTCTAGCTCCTCGCGTGTAGCCATGTTTGCTGTGATCTGGCACGGCGCGCTATACTTGAAGTTCTGGGCTTGTTGGAGGGTGCGATAGATGCTACCGCGTCTGCTGCAATAACCTACTGTATCTGCTGCACTGTGAGGGCTGCCACAATGCACTTGAAGGCCTGCTGCACCCCAGCTGCGTAAATCATCAGTCAAGAGGCCAGCTGCAAGGAGCGGATGGTCTGCACGCCGCCTGCATATACAGGCATCCAGGTCCCAGAGGTACAGGCTGTTGGGATCACAGAAACAGTTGTAAACTTCTTGTTCTATGTCACTATTGCGTAGAATGTAGCGACGCAGGCATGTCTCGGCATGAAGGCAGGATAAAGCCAGCTCGGTCTGCGTGCAGGTAGACCGGGCACTTGGGGCCAAGACGCAAAAAGCTGAGCAGAGAGCCGAGCTTGGCCGGTGCTGCAAGTCAAAGACCTGCTTTTCTGTGGCACTTGCTTGGATAGAGAAGGAGGACGACGCATAGCCCATCGCACCTGCGTTGTGCAACCCGGGCAACCTGCGGCGATGGTGATGCGCCTAGCCAACGCCCTTCAAGCCACCACACTACGTGCAATCGGTTCTTGGCACATCTCAAAGCCGCGATGTGGGAACAGCACCCTTGGAACCCAGGGGCGCGCTGGAGTCGCGGGATTGGCCACGCGCGCACGGCAAGGATTTGGCGGCGCAGGCCAGAACGCCGCTGGAAGTGTCAGGTTTATTCAAAGGTCACACTCCAGTTGGCTGGTGAGTGTAGGCACGTCGTTCCTGTTCTTGACGAGTCCATTTGAGATGAAAAGGTCGATATACCGGTAACTGCATTATAGGCTGCTGACACGCAGTTGCCAAGACGCGGTCACCTGCGAGATTCGAACACGCAAGTTGAATCTCACCACGAACATACCAACAACCGTGCCATTGGGGATGTGTAGAAGCACGACGCGAGCTATACTTGGCCCCATGCTCAAAAGCATGCTGCTTGGGGCGCTGCTCCTTGCTGCCGCGCTGGCAACGGCGCCCATGGCTGCTGCACGCCATTTGCAGCAAGCATCGCCCTGCAACGGCTGCTCCGACGCTTCATGTTATTGCAAGACGGTGCCGACCGGCAACTACGCCAACCCTTTCGACGCCAAATGCGCGACTTTTCTGCAGTGTTTCAACGGCGCCGCGACGGTCACTGCGTGCCCCTCTGGCCTAGTCTTTGACGCCGCCGCCAAGTATTGCAACTGGCCCAGCGCAACCACCTGCAGCCCAGGATGCGCGGCAGCCACGCCGTCGCCGTCGCCGTCGCCGTCGCCATCGCCGTCGTCCGCTCCAACCCCAAGCCCCACAAACCCCCCAATTTCAAGCACGTCACCAAGCCCCAGCTCCTCGCCCTTCAGCGGCGGCTGCAACGGCTGCTCCGACACCGCCTGCTACTGCAAGACTGTGCCCACGGGCGACTACGCCAACCCCTTTGATGCCTCCTGCGCCACCTTTGTCAAGTGCTTCAACGGCGCGGCCAGCGTCACCGCCTGCCCTCCTGGCCTGATCTTTGACCCAGTGTTCAAGTACTGCAACTGGCCCAGCGCGACCACCTGCAAGCCCAGCTGCACCTCGTCATCCCCTTCCCCGTCACCACCACCATCGTCATCGCCGTCACCGTCGCCAGTTCTGCAGCCTTCGCCGGTGCCTTCCCCCTCGCCATCCCCGGCCACGAGCCCTTCCCCTTCTGCGGCCCCGTCGCCCAGCCCCAGCCCCACTCCTCCTGCTGCAGGATCTTCTTGCCTGAAGAATGTCGTGTACTGGTGAGCCGAGCCAGCAAGCCGCACGGAAATGGATGAACGGCCTTTATTTGTGCATCAACAGCGCGCGTTGCCCATTGTCCAGATTAGTCCACTGCGCTGACATGACGTTTTGGATGTTTTCTTGCGGCCACCTGAAACCTTGTGCTTGGGACTCACCTTTCCCTCTTGCCACAAACCCCTCTCCCACCGGAATCTTAAATGTGCAGGGGTCAGAATAGCGTGTCGCACAACTACCTTTCCCCGTCCCAGTGGGAGAAGCCCCTGGACTACTACTGCACCCAGACGGGCGACGCATATGATGTCATCATGCTGTCATTCCTCCACATCTTCAAGGACGCCGCTGCTGGCACTGGGCCTGGGGGCGAGCCGCTGCCAAACCTCAACCTGGCAAACCACTGCGACACCACATTTGCGTCACTGGGTGACACTCAATTCCCCAGCAGCGGCCTTCTCAAGGTGGGTGAAGTGGAAGCGTGGTGCCGATCCGGCTGCCAAAGCCGGTGCAGGGCAGGGGAAGCGAGGGCCACAACAAATGTGTTCTGTGCAGGCCATGTGTGGTTGCGAATCAGGCCGGGTTGACAAGCAAGCAGCAGAGTGGTGGTAAGCGGCAAGAACGGGGCCGCTGCCAGCTGAATCCATTAGGGCTGAGAGTCTTTTTGGCTTCTTGAGAATTTCCGCCATCAAGGCTTTAATCTCCTAAAGATCCAGCACGCACAAACAGCAGGACTACTCACTGGAACACTCTCCTGCCCCTAATGCGCATTGCCACTTCTTCCGCAGTGCCCCGCTGTGGGCACGGCCATCAAGGCTTGCCAGGCTCGCGGCAAGAAAGTCATCCTCTCCCTCGGCGGCGCCGCCGGCTCCTACGGCTTCGCAAGCGATGCCGAGGCCACGCGCTTCGCGGGCATACTGTGGCAGATGTTCCTGGGCGGCTCTGCCCCCGGCTGGCCGCGGCCGTTTGGCGACGCCGTGCTCGACGGCGTGGACTTGGACATAGAGGGCGGGGCCGCCACCGGCTACGCCGCCTTTGTGCGCGAGCTCAAGGGCAGCTACTACTCGAGCGCTGCGGCCAACCCGTCGGGGCGCGCGTTCCTCGTCACCGCCGCGCCGCAGTGCCCTTTCCCGGACTACCACCTCCAGGATGCTCTGAGCAAGTCGTGGTTTGACTACGTGTGGGTGCAGTTTTACAACAACTACTGTGCGGCTGCGGGCAGCAGCTTCAACTTTGACACGTGGTGAGTGGGTGTGCTGACGTTGTATGGCTGCGTGCCCTGCCGTGGGGCTGCTCAATGCGCGGCTGCTCAATGTGCGGCTGCTTTGGAACGGTAGAGGGGGCGTAGCGTGTGACCAGGGGCCATCTGCCTAATGCCTTGAGCATTCTGACCCCGGCAGGGCCGCCGCAATCATCGTAAGTGACAGCTCAGCACCCACTGCCAGCCTGTGGTCTGCTCCTGAAACGAACCCTCCTGCGCACCCAATTTTATAACCCAGGGCCAACTGGGCTGCCACCACTAGCATCAACAAGAACGTCAAGGTGCTGCTCGGCCTGCCCGCTGCTTCTTACGTGGCGCCCGCCGGCGGCTACATCGACGCCGCCCAGGCGCGAACGCGCATCGACCAGCTGGCCACCACCTACCCCTCCACTTTTGGCGGCGTCATGCTCTGGGACGCGGGCGTCGCCGATACCGAGAAGGCGGACAGCACCCTCACTTATGGTGCCGCCATCAAGGCCTACCTCAACACAAAGTCCGTAGCCAGCTGCGGCGCTGCGTCGTCCCCTTCGCCACCGCCTGCAGCATCTCCTTCACCACCGCCCGCGGCATCCCCTTCCCCCTCCCCAATTTCAAGCACATCGCCCAGCCCGAGCCCCCCGCCCTCCGGCGGCTGCAACGGCTGCTCCGACGCCGCCTGCTACTGCAAGACCGTGCCCACGGGCGACTACGCCAACCCCTTTGACGCCTCCTGCGCCACCTTTGTCAAGTGCTTCAACAGCGCAGCCAGCATCACCGCCTGCCCTCATGGGCTGATCTTTGACCCTGTGTTCAAGTACTGCAACTGGCCCAGCGCAACCACTTGCAAGCCAGGATGCCTCACGCCAGCAGGCAGCCCGTCGCCCGCTCCCTCAGCGTCGCCCTCTCCTGTGTCCTCGCCCTCACCGGCGCCGACCACCAGCCCCAGCCCCACCCCAAGCCCCACGGGTGTGGGGCTGCCAGGCGGGCCCCTCATTGTTGGCTACTACCAGACCTGGTCTGCCCCCTGGGCCTCGGCCGGCGCCAACATGGACCTGGCCAAGATACCCGCATACGTCAATGGTGCGGGGGTTTGCAGACATATCCTCCAAATCGCAACACATGGTTGCGCATGCCACCCTGCGCGTACGCTGCTTGCTTGTCAGCCCCGCAGCCTGACGCCTGCGCAAGTTGCGGCAAGGTGCAAGTCTTGGTTGCGCCGCCTGACGCGTGGATGCCGGCCTAATAGCCACACTCACGCACGCAACTGGATTGCTGGGATGCAGCCACACAATGCCCCACCATGCTCCTCCGCACCTCCCTTGTCCCGCAGTCGTCGTCGTGTCATTTGCGCAGCCCGACTGCACATATGCCAAGGGCAGCCTCTCCCTGTTGGGCACGGGCCTCCAGTTCTCGATGGATGGCCCCACCGTCCGCGACGCCATCGCAACCCTTAAGGCCCGCCAGCCCAACACCCGCGTGCTGCTGGCGGTGGGCGGCGCCACGTACACAAACTTTGGCGGCATGAACACCCAGTGCATCAAGGACATCGTTGATGACTTCTCCTTTGACGGCGTCGACCTGGACTGGTGGGTGCAGGGACTGCGCACACAGTCTGTGCCCGATGCGATCGCATGCTTGGGCTTGTTGTGCTGTGTGGTCGCTCCCTACAAATGCTGGGGTGGAGGGCAGACATGGTGTCGTGGGCTTTTCAAGGGTGCCGCCCGCAGATCTGCTCCCTCACATTCGGCGCGCAATCAACCATCCGCAGGGAGCCGTCCGCGCCGTCGTGCAAAGTGTCTAGCGGCAGGGTGTCCTGCCCCACCGATGCCGAGGGCGTCAACGCCGTCACCAAGCTTCGCGCCGCTCTGCCCAAGGGCCGCTACCTGCTCTCCACGGCTTCGTTCCACGTGGGCACGTACGGCGAGGGCGCCTTCGCCGGGAGCCTGCCGGTGACGTCATACACGGGCATCAACCTGGCCATGGCGCGCAGCGCGGCCGGGCAGAGCCTCGACCTCATCAACATCATGAGGTGCGCGCCTGGCGCAGGGGCTAGGGCTGAGCTGGCGGCTGGGGTGGCCGGCAGCCCCAAGTGCTAGGCGCTCTTCTTGCTGCCTTAGGAAATTGAGGAAAGTTTTTTGAAAGCAGCAGTCAAGTCTCTGTGCCCCTGCTGCGGCTCATTTCAGAGCGCAAGGCCTGCCGAACACGTAATCGGTAATGACGTCGCGCCTGGCATTAGCTTATACTCATCCTGTCCCCTCCCCCCATCGCAGCTACGACGCCGGCAACCTCGGCTCTACCGGCTTTGACCCCAAGGAGAGCCTCCGCGCCCACAGGGCTGCGTGGCCGAACTCTGCTGTAGCGATCGGCGTCGAGATCCCCCCAGAGGCCTGGGGCGGCAACACGGTGACCCTGGCGCAGGTGACTGATTACGCCGCGTACTCGCGGGCCAACGGCGGGGCCGGCCTGATGCTGTGGTCGCTGCACAAGAGGGGCAGCCCCAGCGCCCAGCAGGTGCTCACGAGCGCCTGTCAGACGATGGGCGTTTCGGCGGACTGCACCGCAGCTCTGCCCATGTGATGAGTCACACGTTGTCGTGTGTTAGAGGGCCGGGCTGTGCGCACGCGCAGGCCTGAACCGCCGCGCCTTACAACTCCCAGGCTGCTTGCTTGGGTGGGAGGGGATTCCAGGTCAATCAACCAACACTGCTTTTCAATCTCCCAATTGCATCACTCTGATGCCACCACCTTCACTTTGCATTAGATACGCAAGCAATGTCGGGTCTTGGGCCCACTGCCTTGTGCGTCCAGGCTTTTTTGCTTGTTTCCGAGTTGCGCAGTTGCCTTCCTGCCTCCGAGACTAGGGTTTTGGGCTCAGTGGAGTCTCGCATCCGTCCTTGCATCCCTCCCCTTTGCAAAGTTCTCCCCTGCTAAACAGATGCTGGTGCGCATGGACGCACTCACAGCATGATTGCGGAGTCACAGTACGCCGCAGGCTGCATGCACATGCTCACTTTTGGTGATTGAGAGGCCATACCTGCTATCATTGCGTCACCTTGGCGCACACACCGTCCTGGCATTCCTGGGAAAGATTTGTCTTGGCGCATTGGTGATGTTGCGTGTGGATTGAGGTCTCAAGCAAGTTGCATGGGGCGCCCGATGTGCCCGCGCTAGCTGCACGCGTACTGCGCTGGCTCTTTTTTTGTGCCACACGTTGCGCGCATCGTTGCTTGCTGTGCGCTCGCAAACCCATCCATGTTATGGAAGCTGACCCATACTGGCAGTGGGGCCCTATCAGCAAAAGTGTGGTTGGACCCATCAGGCAGAAGCTAAGACATACCGGACTTACATACTTGCAGATGGACTGGTGCGCTGGCAATCGCAAGCCGCTCAGCAATTCAACGTTGGCAAAAAAATCACCATCTGTCAGGCGGTTGCCGCAGCTCCCAGAAGGCGCTCGGCTTCAATACGCTGTACAAAGCACTAGGTTTAGGCCATACCAGAAGTAACAAGCACCAGGATCAATAATACGGGGAGGTTGCACGGAATCGGCAACCAGCAACCCAAAGGAAAGCCACATGTGACCACGGGCTGCTGCAATCCCCGCGCCCTCCCAAACCACGTGCGGCACAACCACTGCGCCGCCAGCTCAGCCCTTCCTCGCCGGTGGCCCGTACCGGCCCTCTTTGTCGGGCCGCGGTATGTCGTAAAGCTCCTTCACGCTGCCATACGTCACCCCGCCCAGGCGCGACACCGGCTGCAGCAGCAGCGGGTCCACCACCAGCTTCCCCGTGGGGCTGCGGCCCGTGACGGCCTCGGCGACATGGATCAGGAGGACCTCCCCAATGACGATGGCGCCGCTGGGCTTGCCGGAGCTGGGGGGCGGTGAGTGGGGGTGCGAGCGGGCGGGCGGGGGCAGCACGCATAGCGTGCGGGTTAGAGGGTTTGAGTGCAAGGGGGCATGCGTCCTCTGCGTATGTGTGGGGGGTTATTTGTGTATACATGTGCGGCCGTGTGTGCGTGGCTTGGTTGCTAGGTGGCCCAGGATACGTGCGTGCATGCATGTGTGCATGTGTGCATGTCAGCATGTGCGGCCGAGCTCAGAGGAACGCGCAACGCTTCCTCACACTGGCATGGCGAGCCCCTCGGCACCCCCGTTCCCCCACCCGTCCATTTTACCACTCATGCCCACCTGTCCTCCACGTCGTGCACCGCCCGCAGCTTGCACTCGAAAGCAATGGCGGCCTCCCCCACCCTAGGCGCCCTGACACGGGCAGAGTCGACGGGCGTGAGCCCCGAGAGGGCCATCTCGTCCACACCGCGGTCGTACTCCCCGCAGGTGTGGTTGGCGGCCTCGACAAACCACTCCGATATCAGGTTGACCACAAACTCCCTGGGGAGGGGGGAATTGGGGAGGGGGAAAGGG